TTGTCAACATAACGACGATAGACATTGTTACCTGGTGTTAACTTCCATCCATACCAACGAATGATTAATTCAAACTCGTCAACCTTTAAACTTTGGTGTTGGATCATGATTTGCACAGCAGCCCATGTAGCTCCAGATCTTCTCATACTATAAGGAACAATATGTTGCTGAATTCCAACAAATAATCTAGAATTGGTAATTTCTTTAGCAAATTGACTCAAATTGTGAGGTACAAAACCATTTCCAATAGAGGAGAATAAATGCATTTCCAAACATTCTTCCTTAATAGAAAAGTCACAATTTTTCAAACATGACTCCAAGTTACCACTTTTGAAAATTCCTCTCAAAGCCAAATATTCTAAAAGCATGAGTATTGGACAATATCTAAGAACAGGGAAAGAGTAGAGTCTTTGAGTTCTATAACACTCTTCAGTTGTCTTGTCATGTTCATAGAAAATATCGAGTGAGAATGATTCTATTGTATTCTTGGTTGGGTTAATGACATGTCTAATGGTAAGGTTCTTGATTTTGACGCAATCAATAGAAAAAGGTCGAGACCCTGTCAAGTATTGAATGAGAAGTCTTGCTCTGAGTCTTAAACCAGTTTCTGTTGGTGGCAGAGATAGTACCATTCTAAAAATTTCATATGGTATGATAATGGCAGCCCTTATTTCCTCAGTATTAACAATGTTAGAAACTGCTTTTGCGAGGTCTAGAGACTCTGTGGTTTTAGGGAGAAGACAATTTTGATATCCATTTCTATCGCACCATCTTCGAAGTCCTCTGGCATAGCCTAGAACTGTATTGAATTTGTAAATCTTTCCATTAATTGGTTCTGTAAGAAATAGAGCCCATGAGTTGAAGGCTATCTCATTGACAATACCTTTGTATTTGGGATTTTCAGTTGCAATAAAAGGCTGTACATTATTGTCTATACAGTATGCCAAGTAATTCTTAACACCAGTCATAAAGGTTCTCCTTGTTCTCTCACTGATTGACACTTCATTTTTAATTTTTTGAAAGATTTCATTTCTCCTTTTCATTAATTCTTCGCCAACTAGTCCTTCGAGTGAGGGTGCTGCTTCATCCATCATTTGCTGATATTCTTCTCTTCTACGACCTCTAATAATTGATGTTCCACCTCTTCTATTGTATCCAAGAATAAGTTTCTCTAAATCTTGAGAAATTAGACTGTCTTGTGTATTTCTCTTCTTCTCTAAGGAATTGATTTGCTCGACCAGTTTTGGTAAGAGAGAAGGATCATTGAGAGAATTGATAGCAATTACAGAGAATAAATCTTGCAAGACTTGTTCTGCACCTATATACTTGACGAATTGATGCATGATTTCATTGGAGGGAATGTGATTAAACAAAGCCTCGAATAAAACTTCCTTTCTAGAATCATCCTTTGAGTTGAGAATAAGAGCAGTATGGTTTTCGTCAATAGGAGGAGGCAATTCAAGTGGAGGATTCCATACTTCCATAGCCTTGCTATTAGCTTGAAGTTGTTGATAAGCTTCATAATAATCACTACTATTGATGATTCGTCTACTATAAGCCTTGTTGGCATTAGCACTATCAGTAGCAGCAGCAGCAGTACCAAAAGATGCACCAAGGTTGGATGGATCCAATTGACTTGACATGTTTCCAAACTCCTCATTTTCCAAAGGCTTGTTGAGAGATGGTTGAATGTATTGACATTGCTCTAGAAGAAATTCAACTTCCTTATCATTCTCCATGTAAATGTCTGCTTCAGAGAGAATTTCTTCAGAGGCTAGAAATTGTTCAATGATCAAGTCTTCCTCATCCTCATCAATTGAATCATCTTCTCCATAAGGAGGACTGTGATAATCTTGATTGGAATCTGTCATGTTGTTTTTTTTGATTTTAAAATAGTTTGTGGTGGAATTTTATCATTCCTATTTGAATTATTAGTAGAAAGGCTTTGTTAAAATGGCGCCAAAATTTTCAAAATCACAAAAACTGCATTAATTTCATCATCACCCGATTGTAATATGAATTGTGTGATCGTACCGAAAATCGATTTCTAATTTTCTTCAGTACTAGTAAATTTATTACATTCCAAGAATCAATGCAAATAACACATCAAATAATGAACCTCTGTTGATGACCATATTTTTTTCGAAAAATGATAAATATAATAATTTGAAAATGATGGACCAATGTTCTTACAATGCATTAATATTGAAGCGTGTAGATTCCAACATTCTTCAAGGTTTCCATCTAATCATTGGCTCATGATCATGTTGATAATGATAATGATTATTTTAATAATTGTCTCTATATAAAATGAAAATGTTTATACTCTCATAATATGCTAGCGATTTCACCCCAGAAGAGGAAGCCAAAATTAGAGAAGAAAACAACCTTGGAGACGGCTATTATGGTTAATTGTGGATTATTATCGCAAAATTCTGGCAAAAAATATTTTTTTTTAATTACGGATTTGAATTATGGAAGTATTACATTAGATATTATGACGTGAAGAATTTTAATAAAATTATGTGAATTATTACGAATAAAAATTACAGTTTTTATTAGATTATTTATTACTGTTTTATTTTGAAATTAATTAACTGAAAATTATTGCCAGTATTTATTGGTAATAATTCATACAGAATGAAAATTGATTGAGAGCAATAAGACCTGGAAATCTGATTACACTGCACACACTATTAATCTTTGAAAGAGGAATTACTGAAGTGGCAACTGAGTGAATGAATAGTTTGTACATTAATGATACATAACACAACTCTCCAAGCGTAAAAATTTCATCACAACAAACAACATTATCCCCTAATTGAGATATCTTCCCAATAAATCTATCGAATTGAATATACATTCCAACCTTAAGTGATGATTTTCTAGCAACATCAAGTGTTTTACCAACTAATCGTCTTGTAAATGGATAATCTGCAAATAATGTATTCATTCCAACTTCATGTTGCAACCCTCTAACTTCAAGTAATTTGTTATTACTTCTATCATTAAATTGTTTGAATTCAGAATGTTTCAATTCAAAAATCAACACCCAAAACCATGTAACATCCCCAAAAAGTACACAATCTTCAAAAATGTGTGTTGCCCAATGATAATTCGGAAATTGGCAATTATCTTTGCCAAAACAATATGTAAAAATGGATTGAAATTTTGTAAATACTTTTTCACAATACACAATATCATCATGAGTATAATTCCCCCTTAATAACCTTATAAAATATTGTAAGTGAAGAATCCATCCTTGGGGAAGAGACGGAAAATACAGCACGCATAGGGGTGGGGGGTTTCGGCACTGAATTAAAAAAAAAATAAAATTAATATTTATTTTAATTTAATTTTAACTTTATTTAATTTAAATTATATTAAATTATTTAATTTAGTTGTAATAAAATAATTAATAAATATTTTCTATTTCTTTTTGTTCTTTCTTCTAATCAGTGGTTGTGGGTTGTTTAAATTTTGGATTAATTGTTGTTCACGTTCAACCTCAATTAGTGCATTCTGTTTTGCTTGTTCTACGAGGTTAGAATAATGCTTTGCTAAAGATCTCCCTTTTGTTCCTGTTGGAACAGGAGATGATATTTTGTCTTCCAAAGAAATATCAGCATCCAATAACAAATCCGTTCTTGTTGGATGGCAAATATTTTCATGAATTTTCCTATCTATTTCAGAATGAATTCTTCTATTACATTTGCCACAAGTAGCAGCATTTCCTTTCAAACTAGGAAAGTCGACATCCATTTGAACTCCTGAAATTTTGTTTCTGTCTTCATAGGAATAAAAATGTTCATTCTTTTCGTTGGAGCGAGTAGGATCTATGAGTGGACTTGGAATAAAACCACCAAAGCTACTAGTAATTTCCCAATATTTGGATGCTCTTTTTGGTGAACAACATGTTGGATCATCACATTTTCTCAGAACAAAAAGATTCAATCCATTTCCTTGCTCGGAGTGAGTGTGAATTTTTTTTAACAAACTTTTGATTTTTTCATCATCTTGATTCTTTCCTTCTAAAAATAAATCAATCTCCTCAAATGTAGGCCAATGTTCAAGCAAAGGTGTACGTTCTGTTTGGTAGACACTTGCAGAATTTACAAAATACTTTGGGCCTGCTCTTAAAAAAATTTCCTTCAACTTCTCAAGCACAGCATTAGCATTCTTTTGCTTTGCTTTTTTATCTTCTCCAAAGGGTTTTCTGTCTAAATCAACATGTCCTATTAAAACTTTAGACAGTTGTGCCATTTCTCTCTCTACACGATTATACTTACTACAGTTTGGTGCATAGGAACTATGTATCAAAACATCAAGATTAAATATTTCCCACAAAAACGCCATCCGAACTTGCCCTTTACGGTTTGATGGTGCAAACTTGTGGTCATTGTCACTAGATACCATAATAATTGGTGGCAATTCACCATTAACTAGACACTTTTTCATGAA